TCAGAAAGCACCTTTCACTTGATCATCCATAATTTCTTTGAGAGTGGAGCTCTCGGAGAGGAAAAGCGGGACTGTGGAGCACTAGGTTGACACTCGTTACTTGAGTGAGTTCAAGCTATTCCAAAAAACCTTCCAAGGAATTCTCTCCGTTGTGATCCCGTTGTGATCACTGGGGTCACTTACAAGTCCTTACGCTTTGAACTGCCATAACAATCTTCATGCAAGGCCATTTGTAAAACAAAAAGCAGTGACGGAATTTCGAAGCTTTCTACTTTCCAGCAAGACTTTCATTTTATCCCTAGGCCTGCTATTCGAAAAAATCCCCCGTTGTGATCACTACGCAACCCCTGAAACCACGCTTCCGACGCCATACCGCTTGCTTATACACATGTTTTTGCCGAAGGTATCAGGAAATAGTTCATTCGGCGCCGATTGGCATCACCTCTGTAATGCGGCGTGCATAGAGCTCTCACGTAGAGGGTGCAACTTCTAGATAGGGCTTCCTCCGTACAAGCAGATGTGCTCCTGCGACAAGAAAGGTGCGGAAGTGTATTTTTATCTGCGTATTCTCTGTCATCGCCCGTTCCTCCCTTTCTGCGCTGGCAGGTTGCTTCTGTCTTGTGTGTGTCTCTTCAGGGGTTCTTCACATGGATAAGTCTTTCATCATTGACGCTGAAAATCTGAGTATCACTGCTCTCTCCACTTCAGAATGGGCCATGCGCTTACGACCCCCCTCCCTCGCGGTCAAATACGACCCCCTCCCCTCTGTTGTGATCATCACAACGATGGCGTGCCGTGCCCCCGGGAGTTCCGCGATACTTTGAGCAAATATCTCTTTACTAAAAGACATTTCCAATCTACAAGGTAATCACCATTAATGACTAGGACTAGTGCCCACCTTTTGCACAGCTTCTCATTTCCATTCTCATAGAACTACGGCAACTACAGGGGGTGGGGGCGAAAAAAATTCACTTTTCTTCATTGACTCTTCGAGGAGCTATAAGTTACACATTGGACAATTTTACCGCCATATTAAAGATTACAATAAATACTATCACTCATCACGCACTCCGCCACAGCCTTCTAACGAGCGCCATCGAGAGATTCTGGTACGCGACCGCGATGTGGTGCCTGAGATCAACGAGATGGTCGATTTCTCCG